CAGAACTTGTTGCTATACAAGAAGCCATAAAATTTGTGAACGACCAAGCACCGCGTAAATGGACGATTCTGTCTGATTCAAAATCAGCGCTTCAAGCTATCCATTCTTGCTCAAGAAGAGGCCAATTTTACGAGTTAACGTTAGGAATCGTCCAAGCATTTGACCTAACACACAGGAGCGGTCACTTGATTACACTCCAATGGATTCCTGGACACTGCGGCCTGGTTGGCAACGAAACAGCCGATAGCGAAGCAAGAGCGGCAATATACAACGCTCCTATGTACGTCAAAGTACCCTACTCGCGAGGTGACGTCAGCACATTGTTGAGATCACTGATGCGCGAAAGCGCTGCCACTTACTGGTCGCTACCAGATCACCGGAACAAGCGCCTGCGGGAAACAGACCCCGGTATGACTTTTCGTCTTCCAGATAAAATCAGCTGAAGACATGCTAATATACTGCACCGAATTCGCCTGGGCGTCGCCTTCACTCGCCACTACACCCACCTAATCGGCCGTGCGGACAGCCCAAATTGTGAACGCTGCCAAGTGTGCGAAACGATAGCTCACATATTTTGTGACTGTGCATTATACGTGGCGCAAAGAAAAATGCTAACGGCAACGTTGGCAAGCATTGGACAAACACCATTAAGTGAAAGCCACATATTGTCCTCAATGAACGACCAAACAGTGTCAAAAACTGCTACAAAGGCTGTTCTAGACTTTATAAAAACCACTGGACTAGAAACTAGACTGTAGGGTACTATGCTAAGTGGCTACTGTACATACGCACCACCTCTTCTTGTCCCCATCATCACCCTTCATCCCTCTTTCCTTCCCCTTTCCCTTATCCCCTATGTAGAGTAGCAGGTTAGAGTGAACTAGCTCAGGCCGACCTCTCTGCCTTCTAATAAATTCTCATTCACTCACTTCTTGACTGATTTTCGCCGTAATGTCCAGGATATGTATATATCTACAAAAACCAAAAAGAGAAAATCCCAAGAAAAAAATTCTAGGATACCCCACCGAAAATTCGAACCGCCGACACCTCGTTCCTCAGGGCGCTGCGCTAAGCAACTATAGACGGATTCGACAGAGCCTTCCGGTCTCTAGCAACATTGTGTGTTCACCAGGAAGTACCCCCCGGAAAATTTTCGGTTTAGCTTGTTCTTGCGTGGTTTTAGCGTCTGTTGCTGGCCGCGGTTGCTTGTGTTCAAATGTTTTATGCACATAAAATTATTCCGGTGAAGCGCTGGCAACTCGAGCACAGCTGTGTCAAGTCAGGATGCAGTCAACATGCCTGAATTAATTTTATATGCTAGTCAAAACGTTGTTTTCTGATCGATGACGATAGAAAGAGCGCCTGCATTGCAGCGGTCACGCGAAATAACTGGATTCCCGCTAAGAGCACGTAGGTTTGTTCTGGCCGCTTCATCAAAGGCAATGTGAAGCTCGCCGCTGACTTATGGCATAGAGGTGATACTCAGACGTTGATACAGACTAGTCGAAGGCCCCCGGTTACCGGGAACACACCGGTCGCTGTCCTCTTCCATCCGCAGCAAACAGGTATACTGACGCCTGAAATGGGTAGCAAAACGTGAAAGTTAACACTGAAAAGTCATCGCAAAGCTGTTCATTTTATAGTTTGAGCGATATGAATAATGTGTACTGTTCGACACAACACGGGACGCAAAGTAGCCGCGCTTAACATGAATCCCCGCACAACATGTACGTCGTGGCGTTCACGTTTCCTTGTCGTTGCATTTGATTATTTTTTTAAGTGATGCCGTCGAGTGGGCTCTCATCTGTGCGAGCAAATATGACTCATCATCTGTCTGCCTGACACTAATGAAGGTCGCCGCATGCAAGCTAATTTATATTTTGGGTATGAACATAGACTGTAGATTTACGTAGGTTCGACTTGAAAGTTTGATTCATGAATAGCTTACTCGCGAGTAAACCATAATAGTCCGGGTGACCCTGCCGCCGCAGTTGACTTATCACATCAGTAGATTTTATAATTTGCCAGTCACACGAACACGTCAGACTGTGAGTGAACCTGATAGCTGCTGATCGCTTTAAAAAGTGCGGTGTGACACAGACGCACAAATAAGCATTTCATCTTGAGGTTGCAAGCTCAGACGAAAACACAAATACGTTCGGGGTTCAACAGGAGAAAGGTTTATAGTTCTAGTCGGAAAGCTGAATTGAACAACTTCACTATGAATGAGCACCTCTTCTCCTGCAAGTTGACGGTACGGGTGCGCTTTGAAGACGCGGACAGCAAAAAATGGCAGCATATCCACGGAGTGAATGATGCAGAGTGAGGCGAAGCATCCGTCCGTCCATTCGTTCTTGCTTCCGTCCGCCCATACGTCCGTCTGTGTGACCACCCGCGCGTCCATTTGCCCGTCCGTGTGTGCGTCTGTTCATGCATCCGCACGTCCATCTGTGCGTCTGTCCCTGCGTTCGTCCATGCATCTGCTCCTGCGTCCGTCCATGCGTCTATCCGTCAGTGCAGCCATTCGTGAGTCCGTCCATGCATCTGTCTGTGTGTCCGTTCGTCCATCTATTCAGCACCCCAAGTACCACCATCTCGCATCTTTTCATCATATATTCCCCATAGAGAAGCACCGCCATCCAGTGGGCGTTCCAAGGAGTAAACGAGAGGTGGCACACGCACACTTTGTTACGGCTTGTGCTTCGTGTCTACTTCCCCTTTCACCACCTCGAGTTCATGGTATGTACTAATTCACCGTATTCATGGCACTGAGGCCCAACGCTCGCTAAACCTTTCTAAAACCAAGGAGGTTATGCCCAGCGAGTATAACGTAGCAACCCTTTCTTGTCACATAGTGCTCAATGTACATGCCAATGGCTGCTAAGGGGGAATGAGAGACAGGAGAATTCGGCTTTTAGTTAACGCGCACGCTGCGAATTTTTCATTGTTCAACAACGCACAGAAAAAATTTGTCACTGGCACCACCTTGGGGGTCAAAATGTAAGACTGGTTACACACTACAACTACTACCACGACTACGAGGGACAAACGGGTGCCGCTATAAGGAGCTTCGTCCCTAAAAGACAGGTGTGCGCTGTCAATTCCTGGTCTGCGTCTTCAAAGCGCATCCACATCGTCGGCAACCAACTGGCTCAATGAAGTTCGCTGGAAAACGTTTCCTGCAATTTATGCATTTTTTATTTGTATAGACGTGACCCCTCTCAGAGCAGGCCACACGGAGGAGGGGGCAGCGCTCATTGGAATGCCACGACGTGTATTTTGCAAGGCGCCCGTCGACCACGCGAGCTATACGCTACGTCGAGCCCCTTCATGTAGCTGCTAGACGTTGCTCCAAACAGATCCTAAGAAATTCGCGAGAAATAATAGAGCAGCATACTCAAACACACCACGGAAGCACCATCGGGACCTTGAAAAAGCGTTGCCGCCAGTGCCGCACCGGAAGTCTGAAGTAAGCCGTTCGGTGAGAGCCAGTTTGTTTACAAACACCGAAACCGCTTATAGGGCCACGCCGCTCATGCTATCTATATCACTAGCGGCGAGCTATATGTACACAGCATTTACAACAGGCTTACTGCCAATGAACTTAAAAGAAGCATTCTTAGACAAAGTTTGTATGTCTCACTTCTAGTTATGCAGTTATGCACACATGCATTAACCACCAGTTTCATGGCCAAATTTCCCGTGGTGGGTGGAAGTCTTATTTAAAGGAACAAGCAAGGAAGCACGCTTTTCCCACCATGCAGCTGCTACCGGCATCGACGCCCAATCTGCGATATCTGGGGCAGTCCGAGGTGGACGTTTTGGTAAAGTGCATTGGTACTGTACTTTCGCTACCATCACCGGTATCGTTGACGTCGACTGACGCCAAGGAAAGAAGTGCCGTACAAACGCTGTGCATACGCCGGTGAAAACGCTGTTCGTAGTTCGGCCTTCGTGGTGCCATCGAGTGTTTACAAACACCTGCGAAATAGCTCCTGCGGAATGCAAGTTGCGTTGAAGCAAGGCGGGCTCGCATACGTGCCCAGACGGGCTGCTGCGCATGCAGGAAACGCTGCAGCTCAAAGCACAATCCTCCGTGTTCACTACATTTCGTATGGTTCCTAAATATTCTAGCCGTACTTCGTATAACAGTCCAATGTGTTGCTATTGCATTCGTTGCTTCGGCCTTGTGCCGAAACTGTGTGTGTTTTTTCCCCTTGGTACTCGCAAAGTGCAAGATTAAATGTACTCCTATGGCCGCTGGATCAAAGTGCGTGGTACTACAAACGCTTGTCTCACTTATTGTGCATCAAGCGGGCTTCATTGCCGATTCCAGATGTATTGCGCCAGAGCAAGCGCCCGTGTCATGCAGAAAAGCGACCTGTTGTGTCGAATAATGGTGCTGCGCGATGTTACAGCAGAAGTAGCAGGATGCATTTCATTTTGTTTGCGCAGTAAAAGCATGCTGAGGGCAATTTATAAATGTGAGATGCGGTACTTGACAATATGCAACTCGCAGAGTCGGGTGGTTGTTGTCTGTCGGTCTGTCTGTCTGTTTGTTCATTTATTTGTTTGAGCTCTGTTACTACACCTGTTGGCAGTTGCCTATTTGTCTGTCTGTATGTTTGTTTGTTTCAGCTATGTTACTACACCTGCCCTCTAATATACGATTTGAGTGATATGTGAAGAACGTGACATCACTCTGAATAGCAAGACGGATGCTCTACGATGAGGAAGCGTACCATTGTGGGCGAATAAAAACTCATGAGGTGTGTGATGCATTTTCCCGAAACGTCTTCAAGGCAAAGCCATCTTCTGGTTGTTTTCTGTCGATGTATTTATCATTTCGGTGATTTGGAATTGGGGAATGTTAGATAAGGTTTACTGTCAATGTAATTGAAGGTAATTACGTAGAATTCGGGCAATTCCGACGCCTTTGTCTCTCATTTATGGCTGATCGAATTGCCCCTGATTCTTGTTTCCTTATGTTTTTCGCGCAGCTTGGAGAACAGGCCGCACCTTCGCGAGGCTGTACGGCACCTGGTACACCGTGGCCAATTGGAGATGGTCACGGGCGGCTGGGTGATGACGGATGAGGCGGCCGCCCACTACTATGCCATGGTTGACCAACTCGTCGAAGGACACCAATGGCTACGCTCCACGCTGGGGTGGTACCGCGCGCAGGCTGGTCCATCGACCCGTTCGGGCACGGCGCGACAGTACCGTACCTGTTACAGGCCGCCGGCATCCGTAGCACCTTCATCCAGCGTACCCACTTTGCTTGGAAAGAGTTCCTCGCTGCGAGGAGGTGCATATAAGTTTTGTGTGCTCGCTTGTCTTCGCATTTTAGCTACCCGTTAAGCTACCTGTTGTGGTTGTAACGCTAACTGGAGTGTGTAGCCATGAAGCCAAAAAATTCCCATGTAGAAATTACTGCTTCTAGCACGCGGCATTACTGAAGTTGTGTTACAGGGACAGTTGTGTTGCAGCTCATGCAGTGAACGTGACACTAATTGCATCATTGTGCTTACCCCGCAGGGACCTGGAGTTCCTTTGGAAAACTCCCTTTCCGACAACTTACTTCAACGACTCCGGCGTGGTGACGCACATGGCGCCCTTCGAGCTGTACAGCATCAAGCACACCTGCGGGCCTAACACTGACGTGTGCCTCAAGTTCGACTTTCCGCCGGTTAGCCGGAGAGTACACCGAGAGCCGCGCTTCGCAGGTGGCTGATCACAACGTAGCCACCCTGGCAGAGCTGCTTTTGGGCCAGTACGGCCGGATCGGCTCCCTATTTCCGCACAACGTCGCCCTGGTGCCACTCGGAGATGACTTCCGGTTCGATCACGACATTGAGTGGGAGCAGCAATACGCGAACTACCGCAAGCTGTTTGACTACATTAACAAGAGCAAGCGGCTACATGCGCACGTGCGCTTCGGCACGCTGAGTGACTACTTCGAGGAGGTCTACGCCCGCATGGAGAAGGGTGTCTCCCGCGAGCACCCGTTCGCCAAACTCGCCGGCGACTTCCATTCGTACGGTGACATGTACGCCGAGGGCAAGCCTTCCTACTGGACAGGCTACTTCACCACGCGTCCTTACCTGAAACACTTTTCGCGGGAGCTGGAGCACTGGCTGCGCGCCGCCGAGATCCTCTACAGCCTCTCCCGCGTCTACCTGAACGAGAGTGGTCAGATGGACCTGGGTCGCCGTCTCGACGCCGACTACGTGTTCCTCGTGCAAACCAGGGACGCCCTGGGTCTATTCCAGCACCACGACGCGATCACGGGAACGTCCAAGGAAGGCGTCATGGCTGACTACGGCTCACGCATGTACAACGGCATGAAGGAGGCCATGGGCGTCATCGCGCATGCCGCCCAGTATCTGATGCTCGTCGAGCAGCCCATGGTCAGCGCCGCGATTCAGTCGCAGAGACCTGTGACGTCGTACCTCTATCCCGATGTGCAGAGGCCCACTTATGACGTGCTGCCAATTAAGCTGCCATTGAGCGTACCAGAAATTCACTGGCCGCAAGATCGTCCTTGTACAACTCGCACGCACAAACATTGCAGGAGGTGGTACGCGTGCACGTGTATGACCCCGTTTCGAGGGTGCTCGACGCGACGGGCGAAGACGTTCTCTTCCAGCTCAACCCTGTGTGGACCGACGCTTCTGCCGTGTCCAGCGTTGTGTTCGAGTTAGTCTTCATCGTCAAGCTACCGCCGCTCTCGCTGAGCACCTACACACTTCTCGTGGAGCCTGGCAGGCTCACCACCCCAAAGACGAGGGTATCCATGTTTGTCGGCGACGCGTGGTCCGGTGCCGGCGCACAGTCCATCTTCAACTTCGAGAGCCCGCACACGAAGCCCATCGTTCTGTCCACGCCGTACGTGGAGGCGACGTTTTCGCACGAAACGGGCCTCCTGCGTTCAATCAGGTTGCGCAAGAGTGGCCTCGAGAGGACGGGTAAACGTCTCCTTCAATGCGTACCGGTCGCTGGAGTTCCACAGCGGCGCCTATTTATTCGAACCGGACGCCAGCGACCCGTTCGTGAACGTCACCGGGCGCTTTCCGATTGTGCGCGTGGTCCAGGGTCCGATCACCTCAGAGCTGGTGTCTGCCTACGCGGACGGGCTGACACACACCTTTCGAGTGTACCACGTCGATGGCTTTCTCGGAGGTGGCCTCGAGATGAGCGTCGTATTCGACCTTTCTAAGCGATCTGACTACAACGTTGAAATGTTTATGAAACTAGACACGGACGTTGACAGCGGCGACCGTACCTTCTACACGGACTCGTCGGGCTTCCAGATGATGAAGCGCGTCACTGACGTGCGTCTGCCCGTGGAGGCAAACTACTACCCTGTGACGGCCGCCGCTTACTTGGAGGACGAGCTATCGCGCGTCACTCTACTCGTGTCCCACGCCCATGGCGCTGCTAGCGTTCAGCCAGGATCTCTGGAGGTGATGCTGGACCGTAAGCTTCGCTACGACGACAGTCGAGGTCTCGGTGAAGGGGTGCTGGACGTGCGCGAAACGCAAGCCGACTTCTGGCTGCTCCTAGAGCCAGTGATTCCTGAGAACGCCGTCAAGACAGCGAGGGGAACAAGCTGGCGGGCCACGAGGACGGTGGCAAGAAGTCACAGGACCTTCCAAACCTATCCTCACTGGCGCACTCCCTTTCGCAGCGGCTACTCTACCCGGTCGTCGTGTTGGCCACCGAGGGACAGCAGAACCGTGCTCTTCACCCAGGCTTTAGTTTCTTGCACGAGGGCTACCCGTGCTCTACGTGGATGATGAACCTACGTACGGTGCCCCTGGAGCAAGACTTCGACCGGCCTTCGAAGAGTAGCTTGTTGATTCTTCATCGCAAGGCAGGCTCGTGCCGTGTGGCCAGCTTAGGTCTGCCATCGTGCGAGCTGGAGAAGACCTACGTCTCGTCGGGCACCGGGTCTCAAGGCGACGCGCCTTCTTTGAGACACGCGTCTTCGCGACCTGAGAGGTTCCGGCTTGTCAAAGTGCAGTCGGTTCACAGGACTACGTTGACGGGCGTTAGAAACGGGGCGAGGCTCCCCGACGTCAACGCGGTCGATGTTCCGCCCATGGAGATTGTTACGCTCAATGTGACTTTCGGTCCATAAGCGGTGTTAGTGGGCTTGCAGAGTAGTAATTCAGCGTGGAGACGTTCGCAGACTTTCGTTTTAGACTTGTGACTGGAACAGATGACAGCGCGCCGACTTATGCGTTGAAGTCGGTTCGCAGTGACCTGCCATTTTAAGGGACTCACATGGTTGCTTGTTCCAGATCGCCACTCGAGTTTCAAGGTCTTACAAGGCCGACGCGTGTAGTCTTTCTCACGTGCAGGAACGATTGCTGGCTTCCGTCCGGATAGTCATGCTGGTTGGTTGTGCGATTCCTTCACCTTGTGCCCATTGATGGACATGTCACAAGGGCACGTTGTTAGAGTCATATGTGTGCGCGTGCTATTCATGTCAGTAACGGCCTTTGCCGTGAAGTTCAGTAGTTTTGGAATCCCGTTGCAGCAATATTTTTCTGGGGGATCCTCGAGACTGATTGCCGGTTGTCTCTAGGGGCGCCTACTGAGGTCTGTGCGCACGCGCGCACACTTTTCGAGCTTGTTCGTTTACTCAGTGTCCTGTTCACTTATGTCGTGAAACATACGGTGACGTGAAGCTCTCGCTACTGCCAGCTTGCGATGTGGGTGCGAACACGAATGCTGTTTGTAAAATGCTGTGAAGATGCGAATTGGTCTATTTTGAGGACAGAGTGTCATTGGCTGACCAACGTGAAGATTGCCCTGGTGGATATAAACATACGGGGCTGAAGCTGATCGCAAGGGAATAACGCATTTTCAATAGGAATAACTGCATTTTCAATATATTATTTGTGATGTCTCATAAATGTGGAGCATCTAACATAAAAGGGGGAAGATAGAAGTGCATGAATTACTACTTTTGCAAAGGGAGGTGTGTCACTTATACTCCTTAACCTCCCTTAAGTAAAGAAGTTTATGTGGGAGTTCGGATTGTTGGAGAAGGATGAAGTGACCAAAGTGATCGCCCTGCACATATTAATGTAAGCCTCATAGCCGCAAAGCTGAATACTGGCTGTTTCTCTCTTAGAAATGTTTGTACCTGCCCTCCTGACACTGTATTTCCTTCCCTTTCGACACTAAGCTGGATATGCGGCGTAGTGTCGGATATGCGCTTAGCGGCATCTCTTCACAAATACCGTATTTACTCGCATAATAGGCGCACTTTTTTTTCAGAAAATCCGGCTCGAAGTTAGGGGTGCGCCAATTACGCGGGGTAAAATTTTCGAAAATTTTTTCAACTCGGTTCTCGCACTTTAAATCTGCACACTTGTCAAGTAAAAGGCGACTTTATCGTTTACCAATTAACCACGGCATATCAAAGCAAAGGGGGGTCTGATCAGCGTTGCCGATCTGGAACAAAATGAAGTCTTTCTGCTGTCGGAGCTTTATAACAAAACTGTGGAAGTCCACCACTTTGTCCTCATATGCTGCGGGCAAGCGCTGGCACAAGGTGGTCCGCCTTCGCAGTGCAAGGCCATGGCGCCGCATGAAACGAGTTGTCCATCCGGAGCTGGCTTTGAACTCTTTTGCTTCGATGTCCTGCGCTTGGGCTATTCTGCGCGCCTCAGTCTGCACAATATCCAACGACACAGCACAGCCGTCTTGTCGTAGCTCCCGTATATGCCGGACCAGTTGCTCTTCGACGTTCGGATACCTGCCGGTCTTGGCACCGCGGAAAGCCCGTCGTGTCTTCTTCGTCGCCTTAAGTTTTTCTTCTTGGTCCCTCGAGTACCGAATACTGGTTTCTCCAACGCCGAAATGCCTGCTTGCAGTCCGGTTGCCGTGCTCCAGCGCGTACTGCACTGCCTTCAGTTTAAACCCAGCCATGTAGCTCGCGTACTTCCCCATGGTGGAACCAAAGTTCAATACACGACCACAACATACGCACACCGCTTGCAAAATGGCGTTTCTTTCTTTTTCTCTGATGGTGGTGATGGCGATCGAGCCCCCGGCGTTGTACACGTGACCTCCAAAAAGCGCGGCGATTTGGGGGGTATCAGTAATTGATGGAACTGCCGTTTTTTTTTTTTCGCTCATGGACGCTTTTTTTTTCAAGTTTTATTTCGACAAACAGTTGGTTAGGTCGTTGCACTTCGAATTTTTTTTATTTGCTCGTGGATTTGCTTTCTTTTTTTCTTCAGGGTACGGGGACCGCGTTCCAACTGTACCGCTGGGGGGTAGAATCGTTTCTGATCATGACCAAGTTTGGGGTGCGCCTATTATGCGCGGAATTTAAAAAAAATCGAATTTTCCGCGACCAAACTAGGGGTGCGCCTATTATGCGAGTGCGCCGATTATGCGATTAAATACAGTATTAACACGAAGACAACTTGGGGTATACTCACGAGAAAGCTTTTATGCTGCTTTCAGTTCGCCTTGTAACCAGGACGTGTAACTTTTGTTACGTCTCTTTTATGATTCTTTTATGTCACGGGAAACACCACTGAAACGCTAGCAGTTGTTTCATTGTAGGCTGAGTATTATGAGGGAATTAAGCAGTATCAGTAAGTACCTTGATTAGATTCGTTATTCGGCATCGCCATGACGCCGTGGAGCAGGGCGCATACGTAATATCTAAAGAAAAAAAAAGCTTTCATTGTGTAGCGCCAAGATGTATGCGCCGAGCTTTTTTTTTTTTTTTTGCTTTTCTTAAAACCTGACTGGCTTGATATGTTTTGTTCACTCTCTGTAGATCTGTACTGACAACTTAAGGCCTCGCATTGCGAGACCCTTCAAGCCAGCGTGTAACTCACACGGGCGATCTCAAATGTTCAGTGCTATGGATCTTATCGATGTTGGATCGGCTGTACGTTGCACCTTAGCATCTAGCCTGGCCTGCGTTTTCGGTTGTATATATCGATAGCTCTTCGGCGATAGCTAGCTAAACAGGAGCCTGCATCGATGACTCCTCTGGAGGGAATTCTCAAGTCGCCCTTGTCACGAGCTCTAACCCCTTTTTTACGTGGATGTTTTTTCGCAGCGACAGGCTGATTACGTTCGAGCATTGTGTCCGTATAGGACATGAGATGCTTTGACAACCAGAAAAATGATGCTATGTATCTATCCCGTCTTCCATAAGTGACGACATTCACTGTGGATCGCCAGAAGCTCTGCATCAGAGCCTGTAAAATATGTGTACATAGGAAATGCCTTTTGTTAGTGCGTGAAAGTTTGTCACCTTCGTGAGCTTAAGCAGAGCCAAGTATGGCTGGTCGTGAAGTTTTGTCTATTTAAGGTGATTTCGTTCGGGTACAGAGTGCGGGTGAGTTGTAGTTTTTTATTTAGGCCCAGTAATGTTTTAGGCACTTTCGAGTGAGCGTTTTCTTGTGAAGAAAACGTGACGTAACACATAGGGCAACAAAAGGAAGCACAGATCTGTGACTGAGCCTTGCGTGGCAGAGTCTTGTCTGATGATTGGTCGTTGCTCGTTTGTTTTTACTTGAGAAAGTAAGCATCTTGCGGCATCATCATAGTAATATTGTAGTATTCTGTGAAGAGGGAAGTGTGTTTTGTGCGAAGTTTTTTTCGCGAATAGCTCGTAAAACGAGCTGCCCTTGCAGTCGTAGCTCCACCGAGCTTTCTTATCAGTGCTTGCTTTTGTCTCGTGTCTCTGTTCAAGGCTGCATTCAAGTTGCAGAGTCATTTTCCCTACCGTGGAGCAGCTGACGAAGCAGCTCCGACAGTTCGGGTGTGGACAGCTGGCCACATTTTTAACAGATAACGGCTGTCACTACCTTCACCCTCATTGGACCTTTTCTTGTGCAGCTGGTGCGACTTGAAAGCGATACAATCAAGCACGTGCATTGAGTACATGACGGTGCTGTTGCTTGTGCTGAAGTGCGAATGCACGACATTTTCCGCTCGGGCTTGCTTGGACTATCGCATACCGTTATTGTCCACTGATGTTCGGCTGTGGACGTACGCTATGCGCCAATCACTCAGGAATTCGGAATCGCGACCTTGCATATATTTTTGTGTTTGTTTTGTTTGTTTTTCTGCAACATGTCATGCAGGAACCGTGGGATGGCAAGCAGCATTGTGCTGGAGATTGTTATCCTATAGAACGTAATGAAAAAAGCCAATCCTGACCAATCCCCTGTACTAAATACGAGCTATCGTGTAACAATAAGGAGGAGGACAAGGCTGTAGCTCGCTGTGACTTTCAGTCTTGATTTACTATCTTGTTTCTTCATTCTCCGTAGTGCTCTGGCTCCACCGCTGTAAATTCAGCCAGGAGCAGGTGTGATGATGGTCAGCTCGACGCCCGTGCCACTACATATGTACTTTATGCTTGTGTTTCTCGGGGCCTTGTGCGAGTAGACACAAGGTTGGTGCTTGACGTTCCCGTCTAAATTGTTGCGTACAGCCGTAACCGAGCGTCACTGGAACGCCTAGCATCGTAGATAAGCTATTTGAAGGGTGGAGACCGGGCGAGTCACTTCGAAACTTCGTCTACGTTGTTTTATCGTTCGCTGTCTTCTTGTCTGTGTCAGTGATGTCGAAATCAAAAGCTTTGAATTTCCAAACATTGTTCGCTCGTTCTGCTGCACATTTTGCGTACTGCGGGATTGTTGCAACTGTGTTTTATAACGTCCTTTTTATTCTAATTGTTGTGTTCTAATTTTTATTTCTTGCATTTCTGTCACACAGCTTATAGGTTCCTCTTGTATGCTTCGTGATGTTGATGTGTGTTGCTCTTTACTGTTTAAGTGTGATCATATCGCAGTTTGCGAAACACCATTCTAGGTCTTCGATGTCAACAGTTCGAGCGCCGCTCTTGGCCTCGCTTGTACAAACAGCTTCTCGTGTAAACCTGTATGTCTACAGGCGTGACCTGGGAGTAACAGTAATGATAATATATTGATCGTTTTTAAAGTAATATATTTTGTTTTTCGTATTCAAGAGAGTTTATGAGCGAGCGTAGGAGCACGAGCATACCGTGATAACGTGGCGCATTGGCGCGACCAAAGTGAGCAATACCAGAAGCGCTTTCACACCCTACAACGCTGGTGTTGGCATCTCGCTGTATCGGATGTCCATACAGTTGCCTGCGTGTCGAACGGCCACCCCCCTCTGTTATTTTGTTTTTCGAAACCCATGCCAAATCATTGATGTGTCAAGTGTGTACCTGTGTCTCCATTTTTTTTCTAATATATTGTTTCCGTCAAAAATAAAAGCTCGCAGACTTCGAGCGTTCCGTTAATGGGAGTCTGTTTCTTGTGCTCGCTGCACGCAACATTACTCGACCACAAAGAAGGGGTAGAGCATCTTGACTATCTTGTTCTGGTGAATTGAAATCCAGTTTTCTTGAAAAACGAAGCGCGTGACTCTGAGATGGGCGTGCGCGCCCGTCTCAGAGGTGATAAGGTGTAGAACACAAGGCGACGGGTAAGTGCCACCACCGGGTCGTCTTAGCAAAGCGTAAGAAACACTCGTCTTTTCGTGGAAGCGTTGAATGGTCACCGCAGCGTGATAAATGCTATGGTCCTTAGAATTACTTATCTGCTTTTTCTAGTAAAATACGTACATGCAGAATATCAATGTGTTGTTATGGTTATGGAATATATATGTGTTGTTATTAATTGACAATCGCACAAGCATGAACGCTGAATCTTGAGCAATATTGGTGGGCGCTGCGGATGTGGTCGGCCGTTTGGGATATCGGCGGGTGCCGTTTAGAGTATCCGGTTTTGTTAAGGGTGGATGAACAGACAATTGTACAGACAGGCCAAATTTTTTGTGTCGAAGGTCCCCAAGAAAGACTATTGTCTTTAAAAAAATCCAGTGAACAGCCTTATTCTAAAGAACAAGGAAGCTTTTAGTACATCGAGGCTTCTCATCTTAGTCCTTCAACCTTGCGTTGTCGACGTCCTCCGGGGGTGCGAAGTGGCGACGGGCCATGGGCGTGATACACGTGGAACTCACGAGGCACACGTGTGACACTTGCACCAGGTCATCGGACGCTCGGGTCGTCGGGGATCGTTGCGAGAACGTAACAAGACATCCAGGCAACCAGCGAGAAGTAGCGGGAGGACG